CTGCTCATTAGGGTTTCCAAGGCTGTGAAAGCAGACGGCCTCATATGTCTACAGCAGAGTGGGTGGTGGGTTCGAACTGCCCACCTTTTGTTTATCAGCTGAACGCTTTAACCACTGCATCACTGGGGTCTACAATAACTCTAAACCACCAAAAAAAAATAAAACAATAACCCAAACCATTGCCATCAAGTTGACCTCATGTGACAGAGGACTGATTCCTGGGTTTTCTTGGCTGTGATCTTTATGGAGGTAGATTGCCAGTTCTCTCTTTGATGGTGCTGCTGGGTGGGTGCAAACCACCAATGCTTTGGCTAATAGTTGAGCACAAATTATGCCCCCTGGGACCTTCACTCCAGTAACAATAGTCATTAGTACTTACATGGTACATAATGCCCTCACCAGACTCTTCTGAGAGTCCCTGGGTGATGCACATGTTTAACATGCTTGGATGCCAACTGAAAGGCTGGTGGTTCAGATCCACCCAGGAGTGCCCTGGGAGAAAACCCTGTGGATCTACTTCTGCAAAGTCAGCCACTGAGAACCCTGGGGACATGGTTCTACTCCTGACCCGTGTGGGGCACCAGGACTTGGAATCAGCCAGACAGTGACTGGATGTTCTGAGGATGCCATGCGGAATCTCCTTTCATCCTCACAGCCCTCTGCTAACCGCCGGAGGCCTCACAGCCTGCAGACCCCTTCCTGCCCCCCTCACCCCTGTCCTCCACCTGGGCTCCAGGACTTCTCTTTCCTGCTGCATTGCTTCTCATTGAAGTTTCTTTATTAGCAAATGCCAGGTGCCATGCTAAATCTTGCCTGGAGTTTTCTAGGTTGTATGCAGTTGAGTCAATTTCATCTCATAGCGACCCCATGAAACAATAGAACTGCCCTATAGAGTTTCCCAAACTGTAATGTTTGTGGGAGCAGGTCACCAGGTTGTTTTCTCACAGAGGGGCTGGTGGGGTTGAACTGTCAACCTTTTGGTTAGCAGCTAAAGGATTAACCATTGTGCTACCACAGCTCCTTGCAGTCTTCTATAAAACAGGTCAGGGAGGTTGTTCTAGCTGAAGTGGAGAAGGACAGTTCAGTGGGGGAACATTTCGGAGCTGGGAGGAGGCTCTGGGGGAGGCATTGAGTCCACTCCAACTCATGGCGACCCCATGTGTGTGAAAGTAGAATTGCACTCCGTAGGGTTTCAATTTATCATCCTTTGGTGGCTTGCATGTTGCTGTGAGGCTGGAGGCTATGCCACCAGTATTTCAAATACCAGCAGGGTCACCCATGGTGGACAGGTTTCAGTGGAGCTTCCAGACTAAGACAGATTCAGAAGAAGGAAGCGGCCATCCACTTCTCAAAGTATTGGCCAGTGAAAACCTTATGAATAGCAGTGAAACACTGCCTAATATATTACTGGAAAGCATTATGAATACCCTTGAAACATTGTCTGATATAGTGCCAGAAGATGAGCCCCTTTAGGCTGGAAGGCACTCAGAATACAACTGGGGTGGAGCTGTCCCCTCAAAGTAGAGTAAACCTTAATGATGTGGATGGAGTGAAGCTTTCAGGACCTCTGTTTGCTGACATGGCTCAATTCAAAATGGGAAGAAACAGCTGCAAACATCCATTAATAATCGGAACATGGAATGTATGAAGTCTGAACCTAGGAAAATTGGAAGTGATCAAAAATGAAACAGAATGCATAAAGATCAATATACTAGGCACTGGTGAGCTGAAATGGACTGGTTTTGGCCATTTTGAATCAGACAGCCATATAATCTACTATGCTGGGAATACAAATTGAAGAGGAATGGTGTGGCATTCATCATCACAATTTTTTAAGATCTATCCTGAAGTACAATGCTGTCAGTGATAGGATAATATCCATATGTGTACCAGTTAATACTACTGTTATGCACCAACAGCCAAAGCCAAAGATGAGGAAATGGAAGATGTTTACCAACTTCTGCAGTCTGAAATTGACCAAACATGCAATCAAGATGTGTTGATTATCACTGGTGATTGGAATGTGAAAGTTGGAAACAAACAAGAATCACTAGTAGTTGGAAAATATGGTCTTGGTGATAGAAATGACATTGGAGATCACATGATAGAAATTTATAAGACTAATGACTTATTCATTGCAAATACCTTTTTTCAACAATATAAATGGTGGCTATACATGTGGATCTCACCAGATGGAGTACATAGGAATCAGATTGACTACATCTGTGCAAAGACGCTATGGAGAACCTCAATATCTTCAGCCAAAATAAGGCCTGGAGCTGACTGTGGAATAGACCATCAGTGGCTCCTATGCAAGTTCAGGTTGAGGCTGAAGACAATTAAAACAAGTCCATGGGAGCCAAACTATGACCTTGATTATATCCTACCTGAATTTAGAGACCTAGAGACCATCTGAAGAGCAGATTTGACTCATTGAACACCAATGACTGAAGACCAGATGAGTTGTGGAATCAAGAACATCATATATAAAGAAAGCAAATGGTCATTAAAAAGACAGGAAAGGAAGAAAAGACCAAAATGGATGTCAGGAGAGACTCTGAAACTTGCTGTTGAATGGAGAGTAGCTAAAGCAAATGGAAGAAATTGAAAGGTAAAAGAGCTGAACAGAAGATTTCAAAGAGCAGCTCAAGAAGACAAAGTCATATATTATAGTGAAATGTGCAAAGACCTGGAGTTAGAAAACCAAAAGGGAAGAACACACTCATCATTTCTCAGGCTGAAAGAACTGAAGAAAAAACTCAAGCCTTGAGCTACAATATTGAAAGATTCTGTGGTCAAAATATTGAATGATGCAAGAAGCATCAAAAGAATATGGAAGGAATACAGGGTCATTGTACCAAAAAGAACTGGCCGATGCTCATCTATTTCAGGAGGTGGCATATGGTCAAGACCTGATGATACTGAAGGAAGAAGTCCAAACTGCACTAAAGGAATTGACAAAAAACAAGGCTCCAGGAATTGACGGAATACCCATTGAGGTGTTTCAATAAATGGATGTCGCACTGGAGACACTTACTCGTCTATGCCAAGAAATTTGGAAGACAGCCAGCTGGCCAACTAACTGACTGGAAGAGATGCTTATTTTTACCCATTCCAAAGAAAGGTGATCTCACAGAATGTGGAAATTATCGAACAACATCATTAATATCACACCCAAGTAAAATCTTCCTGAAGATAATTCAAAAACAGATGCAGAAGTACATCAACGGGGAACTTCCAGAAGTGCAAGTTGGATTTAGAGGAGGATGTGGAATGAAAGATAGTGCTGATGTCAGGTGGATCTTGGCTCAAAACAAAGAATACCAGAAAGCTGTTTACCTGTGTTTTATTGACTGTGCAAAAGCCTGTGTGGATCATAACAAATAATGGATTACATCGAGAAGAGTGGGGAATTCCAGAACACTTTATTGTGCTCATGAGGAACCTGCATATAGACCAGGAGGCTGTCGTTCGAACAGAACAAGAGGATACTGCTTGGTTTAAAACCAGGAAGGGAGTGTGTCAGGGTTGCATCCTTTCACTATACTATTCAATCCATATGCTGAGCAAATAATCCAGAAAGCTGGACTATATGAAGAATGTGGTATCAGGATTGGAAGAAGACTCATTAACAACCTGCAATATGCAGACAACACAGCCTTGCTTGCTGAAAGTAAGGATGACTTGAAGCACTTACTGATGAAGATTAATAACTACAGTCTGCAGTATGGATTACACCTGAACATAAAGAAAAACGAAAATCCTCACAACTGGACTAGAAGCAGCATCACAAGAAATGGTGAAAACATTAGTCAAGGATTTCATATTACTTGGTCCTACAGTCAACACCAATGGGAGCAGCAGTCAAGACATCAGACGACGTACTGCACTGGGAAGATCTGCTTCAAAGCACCTCCGTAAAGTGCTGAAGAGCAGAGATGTCTCCTTGAAGACTAAGGTGCGTCTGCCCCAAGCCATGGTATTTTCAATCCCCTCATATGCATGTGAGAGCTGGACAATGAATAAGGAAGACTGAAGAAGAGTCAATCCTTTTGAGTTGTGTGTGGTGAAGAATACTAAAGTACCACAGACTGCTAAAAAACAAACAGATCTGTCCTGGAGGAAGTGCAGCTGGAATGCTCCTTGGAAGTAAGAACGGCCAGACTTCGTCTCACTTAACTTTGGTCATGTTGTTAGAAGTAACCATTTCCTGGAGAAGGATGTCATGGTTGGTAAAGTGCAGGGTCAGTGAAAAAGGGGAAGGCCATCAATGACATGCACTAACACAGTGGCTGCAGTGATGGGCTCAGGTGTGGCAGGGAACATTGGGCTGGCTCAGAACCGGGCAGGGTTTCTTTCTGCTGTGAATGGGGTCACTGTGAGGCCGAGTCGACTCAACCGCACCTAACAACAACAACAGGGTTTTCAGTGGATGGTTTGTCAGAAGCAGATTACCAGGCCTTCCTTGTGCAGCACTGTGGGGTGGCCTTGAACCTCCTACTTTCCGGTTGGCAGCTGAGCGCATGAACCATTGTACCACCAGCTGCCACTGAGTCACCGCGGACTGCCGGCCACTCCCCATGTGTCAGAGCGGAACTGTGCTCCAGAGGGTTTTCTGGGGCTGAGTTTTCAGAAACAGGTCACTGGCCTTTCTTCCCTGGAGCCTCCAACCATCATGTTAGTAGCTGAGTGTTTTCACTGTCGGCACCACCCAGGGACTCCATGGTGGTTAAACCAAAACTCATTGCCGTCGAGTTGATTCCGACTCATAGCAACCCCCATTGGGTTTCCGAGGCGATAAACCTTTATAGAAGTAGATCGCCCCACCTTCCTTCCGAGGAGCAGCTGGTGTGTTTGAACCGCTAGCCTTTGGTTAGCAGTCAAGTGCCTTAAGCACTGCACCGCCAGAGTTCCTTAAAGGCCCCCAGAATTAGATGGAATTCCCATCTGGGCCCCCCACCTTCCTGAGCCACAAGGGGTCAGGTCCAAGGGCATCTCACCCTGCAGGAGGATTCTGGTCTCCAAATCCGTGTCTGGGACCTGGTCGCTGAGGTCAGCCGCGGGGATCTCCTCTCTCTGCACTCCCTCTGCCAGGCAAATGGGAGACATGGATGACACCTAGGGCCCCCCTCGCGTAGGCCTGCACCCCAGCCCCAGGCCATGCCCCACCCCGTCTCCTGCAGCAACTCACCTTGGCCCTTGTGTTCGGGATCCAGCGTGCGAACAGCTACCGTTTTGTTGACTAGGATTCCTTCCGGCTGTGCAGCGTTGGGGAGGGTGGAGGCGTTGGGTGAATAAACGGACAAGCAGAGGGCAGGTGGTGAGCAGTGCTGTTCAGAGCACGCTCACATAGGGGCAATGGTACTCCAGCCTGCCTCTGCCCTTTCCCGGCTGTGTGACCGAGAACCCATGACTTAACCTCTCTGTGTCTCAGTCTCCTGTCTCATAAAGAGGAAGCAATACAAACATGGGTCTCATCATGTGGTGCAGATTAATAATTATAAGCGAATAACAAAAATAATCCAACTGCTTTTGCATTCTTCACACGTGCCTGGGCCCTATGGACCTGAGTGTTTTACACGGATTAACTCATGTAATTCTCCTAACAACCGAGTGAGGTAGATACTATTATCATTCCCATTTTACACATGGAGAAACTAGGCTACAGAGAAGTTAAGAAACTTGCCCAAAGCCACACAGCTTATAAAACAGAACTGGGATTTGGACCCTGGGCAGTCTGGCTCCAGACCCTGTTTTTTATCCACTGCTTCTCAAAACAGCCAAAACCCAACCCACTGCTGTCAAGTTGATTCTGACTCGTGGCAACTCCATGTGTACAGAGCAAAACTGCTCTCATAGGGATTTATGGCTGTGACATTTCCAAAGCTGATCACCAGGCCTTTCCTCCGAGGTGCGTCTGGGTTTGGACTGCCGGCTTGTGGTTAGTAGCCAACTGGTTAACCAGTTGCATCACCCAGGGACTCCTATTGCCTCTCAATGTCTCAAGTAAAAGCATGTGCATTAAGCACTTAGCACAGATCCTGGCCCATAGTATGTGCTCAATAAGCAGGGGCTGCTTTAATGTGTGGTTTAGCAGTAGAATCTTCACCCTCCATGAAGGAGACCCAGGTTCAATTCCCAGCGAGTGCTCCTCATGCATGGCTAGCACTCGTCTGTTAAGGAAGGCGTGCGTGTTGCTAGGATACTAAACAGGTGTCTGCGGAGCTTCCAGACTAAGATGGACTAGGAAGGAAGGCCTGGTGATCACCTTGCAAAAAATCAGTGAGTGAAAAACCTGGATCCCGGCAGCCAGACCCACAGCCAGTCATGGGGGCGACACAGGGCTGGGCAGTGCCTCATCCTCTTGTGCATGGGGTCACCGGGAGTTGGAGGCCGACTTGACAGTAGCGGATGACAACCACAAACTGTGCCTGAGGTGAGTGCCTCACTTCCCCCCATCCTAGCCCTGCCCTGACCTTCTAAGGATCCTAAGCTGGACGCTGGCCTTCTCGGTGTCTCAGAGCCTGGGTCTCTAACCTGGGTTGCCAGGACAGACAGTGGGAGCCTTCCGGGAAGGACAAGGGGCAGCAGGTCCCCCAAGGACTCACCACAACCCTCAAGGTCTTCTTGACACCGTCACTGACAAACTGGTTGTAGACAGCGGCCTTGACCTCTACCTCCTGGAGGCCGACCTTCAGGGGCACGAGGACAAAGGGCACCGACACTGACGACTCACCCTGGATCTCCAGGGTCTGCTGGTGGCGCTTCTTGGCGGTGGCCATGCTGCAGAAGGCTGGGTTGTAGAGCATTTCCACCCGCACCTGCCAGGGACAGAGGGCATTAGGGGAGGGGCTCGTGTGCCAAGGGTCCCCCAACCCCCTCCAGGCCTCTGCCGCCCCGGGGGCCCACCTTGATTTTATCCTTCTGATAGTTGTACAGGACGGCTCGGACCTCCACCTGCTCGTTACGCACCACGGAGTACGGGAGCCGCAGGTCGATGAAGAAGTCCTGCCACACCGTGACTTCATAGGGGTCAGCCACGCAGATCCCTGGCGGGGGGCAGACAAGACACAGAGCGTCAGGGGCAGGGGGAAGGTAGGGTGGACAGGGCAGGCTCCTGGTCCGTGTTCCTGCTCCTCCCAGTGTCTCAGTTTCCTTGGTTGTTGTTAGTTGCCGCCGAGTCAGCACCGACTCATGGTGACCCCGTGTGTGTGAAAGGAGAACTGTGCTTTGTGGGGCTTTGAGGGCTGTGACCTTTCAGAGGCAGATTGCCAGGCCTTTCTTCCGAGTCTCTCTCAGTCTGGAGGCTCTGCTGAAACCTGTCCACCGTGGGTGGCCCTGCTGGGATTGGAAATCCCGGGGGCACAGCCTCCAGCCTCACAGCAATACACAAGCCACCACAGTACGACACACTGACAGTGTTGTGGTTGGTTGCTGTGGAGTCAGTTCCGACTCATGACAACTCTGTGTGTGCAAATTAGAACCACGCTCTATAAGGTTTTCAAGGCTCTGACCAGTTGGAAGCAGACACCTAGGGCTCTCTTTTGAGTTGCCTCTGGATGGGTTTGGATCACCAACATTTTGGCCATTAGTCAAGCACTTAACCATCTGCACCCCCAGGGCCCCTAGAGCTAAAGAGGCTGGGATGGTTCCACCTCCCTGCGTTTGAAATGTCTGTCTCCTTTGACCCCACTGCTGCGCACAAACGTTTGTCCTTGTGTCCGTATTATGATTTCCCTGTTTGCTGAGGAGTGGGAGTTTCAGACACTAAACTCTATGGTAGTTCAGTTTGTGTGTCAGTGTGGCTGGGCCTGGTTGAGTGGCTGAGCAGCTGGATGCAGTATTCCTCATGATGAGACTGGTCATCAACTCCATGGTGGGGTCTACTGGGAGCAGCTGAGGAGCTGAGTTAGGGATGTGGTCTGCTTCCTGTGTATAAGCAGAAGCCTTGGGGAATGGTCTCTAGCTTATGGCACATTTGAACCCCGCATGTAGCTGTGTCATTGTTCAATAGCCTGTTGTGCTCTGCCAACCTTGAGACTTTAGATGGACTTGAATTATGGCCTGCCGTGTGGTTTGGTAACATTGAGACTTTGCCATTGTATTTGTCGACCATGGGTTTGTTAGCCTCAGCAGCCAGCTGAATAAAGAGCTGCCTCTAGCTTCAATGGGCCAGGAGCAAGAGGCAGAGCTGAAGCCCAAGGTCAAGGGGCTTTCACCCAGCCCCTAGAGCCTGGCACTTTGAACTTGGACTTAAAGCCTCCAATCTGTAAGAGAATAAACTCCATTTGTTAAGGCCATCCCATTTGTGGTATATTCTTGTCAGAGTGGCACTAGGGAACCAGAACAAACTCTTTTGAATAGAGCTGTTTCAATGCTTCTGTGTGATGGACATCCTGTCCTTGCATGGCCTGATGGGACGTCAAAATACGTGAAAAACATTGTTTTGTTATGCATTCTTTACCTCTCTTTCTGCCTTTTATTTCTTGTAAAAACTCCCAGCTTTCTGATAAGGGACAAGGTTGTGGTAACTTCTTGGTCACAGCCAGCTACCTGGAGGGAGCAAGTAGTTGGACTGCATGTGGGCTTGGGACCATGGTCCTAAGTGATGTCAAGCTCAATTGGCGTAACATACTACACAAAGCATTGTTCCACATCCTACTTTGGTGAGTAGGTACTGGGATCTTAAAAGCTTGCAAGCAGCTGTCTAGATGCAATGATGGGTCTCTCCTCATCCAGAGCAAAGAAGAATGAAGAAAACCAAAGATGCATGGAAACAATTAGTCCAAGGGACTGGTAGACCATGTGATCCTCAGCCTATATGACCATGAGACCAGAAGAACTAGATGGTGCCTGGCTACCACTGTTAACCACTTGGAGGAGGATCTGTGTAGCAGATCCTGGATAGAGTGGGAGAACAACGTGGAACAAAACTCAAAATCATAAAAAAAGAGACCAGGCTTGCTGGTCTGATGGAGCCTGGTGAAACCCCTAGACTATGGCCCCCAGCTGCCCTTCAGGTCTGGAATTGAATTCACTCCTGTGGCTTCCAGCCAAATAAAAAGCAGGCATATGGGCTGAATGTTTACATTAGGTAGACACACTCCTTGTAGAGATCAATTATGGGAGAACAGAAGTACTGTGTATGCACAGGGAGACAGGTCAGGGAGCAGGAGTGCATGGGAGGGAAGGGCACAAGGAAGAGGTAACTACGGGGAGGAAGTGGGAAGAGAGCTGCTACATTGTGGGAAATTGCAGCCAATGTCATGAGACCCAATGTGTATGAACTGCTGTAATGGAAAGTGAAATTGCTCTAAACTTTCATCCAAATCACAATAAAAACAAAACAAAACAAAAACTCCCAGCTTTCCATGAAACCAGAACTGGATGGTGCCAGGCTACTAACACAGAGCATTTGGACCAAAGAGGCTATAGAAAAATCCTAATCAAAAGGGGGGAATGTGGAACAGAATTTAAAAGTTTCATAGAATTCAGAGTTTCTGGAGCCATGGAAGCCAGATGAACCCTCAAAACTATTACCCCAAGATCATCTTTAAACCTTAAATGGAAACTGTCCCCTAACGTCGTCTTTAAACCAAACCATAATTCAGCTCAATTAGTGCAGAACACGTCTGCCTTGAGTCTGTCATCTCTTCAAGAACTGTCTCTATGGGATTAAACCGCCAACAGGTATGGACATGACAGGTTTGATGAGAAGCTTAGGGGGCAGTGAGTTTATCTCAGCGGTGGTGGGATAACTTAGAAAAGGAGCGAAAATGGTTGCACAACTTGACTGATGTAAACACTGTGTCTGAATCGTACGTGGAAATGTGTTGAGTTGGTGTGTTTTGCTGTGTATATTTCCACCAGAGCAAAGCCAGAACCTCCCGTTTTTCTGTGGGGAGAACTCCTCGTGGAGACTGTGCTGCCGATTCATGAATCTTTTCTGAAGCCGAGTGCACTCTGTAAAGTTAGCTTGGTCAGAATTTCCTGTTAGCACCCCAGAGAACAGGAGCTGTCCCCAGTTCCCGCTGTCTTTATGGAGGCCCATAGACTGCTGCTGTTCTCTGTTGCTGTCAAACTGGCTCCAAGTCGTGGCAGCCCCACGTCATGGTGGCCCCATGGACAACAGAAGGAAACGCTGCCCCGTCCTACACCATCTTCATGGTCGCTGGGGTGTCTGAGCCCATGTTGGGGCTACTGTGTCAGTCAGTCCGTCTCAGGGAGGGTCTCCCCTGTTCCCACTGACCCTCCACTCTACCGACCATGATGCCCTTTCCAGCGATTGGTCTTCCCTGATGACGTGTGCCAAGTAAGCACGTCAGAGCCCTGCTGTCCTGGCTTCCGAGCAGTGCTCTGGCCGTGCTTCTCTGGCTGTGACTGATGACGGAGCGCTCTTCATGCCCTGTCATGATGAACAGTGCTGATGTTTGGGAGTCACTGATTTAGTGACTTCTGTTTTCTTTGTAGTTTTTTTCATATGTGTGTGTGTGCATGTGTGTGTGTGTGTGGGGAGGCCTGAATAACTGAAGGGTCTTTATCTGTGATATCCAGGCCCAGGTGGCTGAGCACTGGAGATGTGGCTGGCCCAAATGGAAATGAATTTGACTTTAATCTTAGTCAGTCCTGGGTGGTGCAGATAGTCGATGCCCTCGGCTGCTCCCTGAAAGGCTGGTGGTTCAAGGCCACCCAGAGCTGCCTCAGAAGAAAGGCCTGGCATCTGCTTCTGCAAACGCAGCCACTGGAAACCCCACAGAGCACAGCTCCATTGATACATGAGGGCTCAGCGAGTCAGACTGGACTCCATGGCAACTGGGGGGAGGAGGCAGGTTCTCATCAGGCTGCTTGATGGGGGCGGTACTAGAAGAGGAACCGCCATCCACAGTTCTCCATCTGACCCCTGCTCCTTCCTTCACATGTTTCACCCTGCTTCCACTTTTATCTTAATTGTCTTACCCTCCATCACGCCGACATCACCCCTTAGGGGTCTGTGTTGTTGCAGAAGCACCAATGTTAGGGACTACGTCCTCCACAGAGTAGGAGGCCCTGGTGGGCATCAATGGTTAAGCCCTTGACTACTAACTGAAAGGTTGGTGGTTCGAACCCACCCACAGGAGCCTGGGAAGACTGGCCTGGCAGCTGGCTTCAGAAAGGTCACAGCCTTGAATACCCCACTGAGCCTCGTTCTGCTCTGCACATGGGGCCAGGTGTTGGACTCGCTGGCAACTAACAGTTACTGGAGTCTGTGGGCGGTGCGAACGGTGAACGAGCTCAGCTGCTAACCAAAAGGTTGGGGGTTCAGGTCCCCCCAGAGGCCTCTGGGAAGAAAGGCCCGGTGAAGGAAGGAAGAAAGGCTTCTGCAAAGTCAGGTCCGGATGCCCCAAGAAGCACAGCTCTGCCTGCACAGGGGGCACTGTGAGTCAGGGTCGACTGGGCGCCAGCTCATAACAACAGGCCTCCACTGGCCAGGGCCCGACACCTCGCCAGGACCAGGGGTGGGGTGTAAGTCCCTCAGAAAATCCCGACAGCCCCGGGGTCCCTTCCTCCCAAGGGTGGCTCCCCATCCCTCCTCACCATTCTTGTCCGACACGCTCACAGCCAAAATCTCCCAGGTGGTGATGGAGTCTTTCAAGAACACGTTCATGATCTTCGTGGAGATTCTGGGTCGGGGTGGAGGAGAGGTGGGGCATTAGAGGGTGGGGGCTCCTGGGGATAGGTTGGGGGGATGGGCACAGGTAGAAAGCCCCACTTGAGTTTTCTGGTTGAACTGTGAGATTCCACAGTGATTCCGGGAAAGGAGGAGGTGGGGGCTGGGGCTTCTGTTTTTGTATCTGGTGCCATCGAGTTGACTCCGACTCTGGGACCCCTTGTGTTACAGCGTAGACCCACCCCACGGAGTTGACTCCGACTCTGGGACCCCCCGTGTTACAGCGTAGACCCGCCCCACGGAGTTGACTCCGACTCTGGGACCCCCCGTGTTACAGCGTAGACCCGCCCCACGGAGTTGACTCCGACTCTGGGACCCCCCGTGTTACAGCGTAGACCCGCCCCACGGAGTTGACTCCGACTCTGGGACCCCCCGTGTTACAGCGTAGACCTGCCCCGTGGAGTTCTCCTGGCTGTGGCCTCTATGGCGGAATCCCCGGGTGGCCCAGATGGTTCCACACTGGTGTACTAACAGAAGGGTTGGCAGGTGAAACCCACCCAGAGAAGCCTCAGAAGAAAGACCTGGCTATCTGCTTCAGAAAGGTCACCGCACATATGGGGCCACCATGAGTCAGGGTCGACTTGACGGCAACTAATGATGGTGATCGTGATGGAAGCAGACTGCCATGACTGTCTTCTGAGGGGCTGCTGTGTGGGTTTGAACTCCCGACCTTTCAGTTACCAGCTGAGCACAAACCATTTTCACCAGACGGGACTTGGGGTGGGGGTGCATGCCAGTTAAGTTAGGGGGTCCTCAGGGGCTGTGATGGGCAGATGGGCCTGCTGCCTGGGCTGGGCTGGGGGTGGGTGGAAGTGGGGGGTCCCAGCCATACCCGTTTTTCGGTGGTTCTTTGAACTCCTTTATGCACCACAGCCAGCTCTCGGGAAACTGACTTCTGGAAATGATGTCTTCTTCCGGCATGATGTCTTCATCCAGGTCACCTGGGGGCCATCTGGGGTTAGGGCAGACCCACCTCCCCTGTGTCCCCTCAGCTAACTCTGCACCCCGGGAGCCATCTGAGCAGCAAAACCCGCCCAGGACCCCATTAGGACTTTCAGGGCCCCACACATTTTTGCCTGGGGCACCCCTTCAACGACATATTGCATCAGGCCAATCTGCTGCAGAAGGCCTCTTTAAAACGTTAATAAGGAAAGATGTCACTTTGTGGGCTACAGAGCGCCTGTCCCAAGTGGGGGGTCTCTTCAGTCACCTGATACGCATGTGAAACCTGGACCATGACCAAGTAGGGATGAAGAATTGATGCCCTAGAATGACAGTGCTGGTGAAGACCACTGACTGACTGTGCACGGGCTCCTTGGAGGAGCACAGCCTTAGGAGTGAGGACAGCGACACTCTGTCTCACGTACTTTGGCCGTGTTGTCAGGAGGGACCAGTCCCTGCAGAAGGACATCATGCTTGGTAAAGTAGGGGGTCAGTGAGAACAGGCAAGACCTCAATGAGACGGACCGACACAGTGGCTGTGACGATGGGCTCAAGCACAGCCACAACGTGAGGATGGTGCAGGACCGGGCGGGGTCTAGTTCTGTGGTGTGTGGGGTCGCTGTGAACCGGAACTGACGTAGCGTAGTGCCTAAAGCACTTGACTGCTAACCAGAAGGCCGGCGGTTCAAACCCACCAGCCACTCCTCGAAGGAAGGTTGGGCAATCTACTTCCATAGTGATACTGCCTCGGAACCCAAGGAGGGGTTGCTATGAGTCCGGGCTGACTCGACAGCACATAACAATAACAACAACAGCAACAACAATAACAAAGCACCCCTTCCTCCATAAGTAAGTAAATAAATAAAATTTATATTTTACAACTGTGTGGATAGAAAGATTAACATGATCCCAGCTGGATGCTATTTATTTTGTCCCTCTGATTGTCAAAGAAATGAAAGCATTTTTGTGGAGCCTGAAAGTATGTTGGGCCCTGGGCCCTGCATCTACAGCGTACAGTGGATATGTTGGCCCTGAATGCAGCCAGTTGAGTTGAGAGGCCACTGAAGGTGGGGTGGGGGTGGGGTTCCTAAAGTCAGCTTCCCACTGTTAGCAAGTGTTATGGATTGCATTGTGTGTTGGAATCCTAACCCCTATCCCTGTGGGTGTAGTCTGTTTGGGACTAGGGTTTTCTTTGTCATGTTCATGAGGCCATGTCTGTGTAGGGTGGATCCTTGCTTGAATAATTTCTTTTAGAAGGATCAGGACAAGGCTGGTCTCTCTGAGGCAGAGGTTAAAGATATTCCAAGTGTCCACCTTTTCCAGACTCCTGGCCACTCCATCATCTGACATCAGCTCCTCCTCCTCCCCTCCCTCAGTAATCAATCCCCTTCCTGTCTTAGAGGTCTGTAGTTCACTGTAACGTCTCACAGAACTCACAAACTGCCGAGCAAACGGCTCACATGGTGGTGGAGGCTGGGAGGCTGGCGAGGCCCAGGTCTGTGGGTAGGTCTGGAGGATTCTCCCCAGCATGCGGTTGCAGGGGCTGGCGAACCTGGGTCGGCAGGTTAGATGACGGCTGCTGCCTCACCAGGGGTGAGACGAGAGACCAAACGCAGAAGCAAGCAACAGAGTGAACTTACCAGAACAGTCCCATATACACTGTGAGGCACACCCCCAGCAAGGCAGGACTCAAGATGTGTTCCACCATAAACAGGCAGGGCGACTAGGACTTACACCCCCAGCAAGGCAGCACGGCATCCCATCCTAAACTGGCATTGAGTTGATTCTGACTCACAGTGACTCCCACTGGGTTTCTGAGGTGGTAAATCTCTGTAGAAGTAGATTGCCCCATCTTCCTTCCATAGAGTGGCTGGTGGGTTTGAACCACCAACCTTCTGGTTAGCAGTCGAATGCCTTAGGCACTATGCCACCAGAGCTCCTTAAACTGGCACAGAGACTGGGATTTACAACAGATCACAAAATGGAGGATGAAGGCTAGAAGGGCCGGATTAAGCCATTCACTGCACTGCAGTCCTCAATCCAATCACCTCTGAGTTACAAGGAGCAGCACAGACAGAGACAAGAAGGCACAGACAAGCTGCCAGCAAGCAAGAGGCCAACGTGGGCAGATATTTCTAAATTCTTAAACTTAGAAAGACAGACTATCTGATGACAACAAAGGTGGAAGAATTTCCAAGCCCGGGAACCCCGAGGATCGTGAGCTACTGGAAACTGAAATGGAGTCCGTGGGTGGTGCAAACCTTAACATATGCGGCTGCTGACTGAAGGTCTGAGTTCAAGCCCTGCCTAGAGGAACCGCGGAAGAAAGGCCTGGAGCTCTGCCTCCAAACAGTCAGCCACTGAGAGCCTGTGGGGCAAGGTTTACCCTGACACACGAGGGGCCGCCAGGGGTCAGAATCGACTCAACGGAACCAGTTAGTTACAAACTGACATAAACAAAGGACCTCCCCCTAGAGCCACACACTGAAGCAGGACTTCAGGCCTGCTGCACTACGAGAGCATAAGTTTCTGTTCCTGAAAACCACCCCCTTGTGGTATTTCTGTTACAGCAGCAGTATGAAGCTAAGACAGCAAGTAACCAAATTGGACTGGAACAGAATTCAACCCTGGGTGGGCTTTCCTCAAAAATGATGTTGTTGTGTTAGGTGCCGTTGAGTCGTCTCGACTCATAGCGACCCTATGCACAGCAGAACAAAACACTGCCCAGTCCTGTGCCAGCCTCGGGATCCTTGCTACACCTGAGCCCACCATTGTAGCCACTGTGTCAGTCCATCTTGTTGAGGGCCTTCCCCATTTTCCGCTGACCCTCCACTTTACCAAGCATGGTATCCTTCTCCACAAAATGGTCCCTTCTCACAACATGACCAAAGTGAGATGAAATCTGGCCATTCTCGCTTCCAAGGAGCATTCCAGCTGCACTTCTTCCAGGATAGATTTGTTCTTTTAGCGGTCCATGGTACTTTCTGTATTCCTCACCAACACAACTCAAAAGCATCAATTCTTCTTTGGTCTTCCTTATTCATTGTCCACCTCTCACGTGCATATGAGGGGATTGAAAATACCACGGCTTGGGTTAGGCACACCTTGGTCTTCAAGGAGACATCTTTGCTCTTCAGCACTTGACAGAAGTCCTTTGCAGCAGATTTTCCCAATGCTATATGATGTCTGATGTCCTGACTGCTGCTTCCATTGGTTTTGATTGTATAATCAAGTAATATGAAGTCTTTGTCAATTTCAGTTTTTTCCCTGTTTCTCGTGATGCTGCTTATAGGTCCAGTTGTGAGGATTTTTGTTTTCTTTATATTGAGGTGTAAGCCATACTGCAGACTGTAGTCTTCAATCTTCATCAGTAAGTGCTTCAAGTCATCCTCACTTTCAGCAAGCGAAGTTGTGTCATCTGTGTGTTGCAGGTTGTTAATGAGCCTTCCTCCCATCCTGATGCCATGTTCTTCCTCATATAGTCCAGCTTCTCGGATTATTTGCTCAACATACAGTTTGAAGAAGTATAGGGAAAGGATACAAGCCTGATGTACTCCTTTCCCGATTTTAAACCATGCAGTGTCCCCTCGGAAATGATGGGCAGGTTGGCTCTGGGTTTTCATCACAACAGTCCACGGAATTCCACAGATGCCCAAATCCACCAAGACCCTGGACTGATCCACCAGTGTGCCTTTGGGGTCATAACCTTGAGGCATTGTTGTCCCATGTCAAGCAAAACAAAACAAGAAACCCCACCAAACTCACTCTCATCAATTCGATTTTGACTCATAGCGACCCTGTGGGACAGCACAGAACTGCCCCACAGGGTTTCCAAGCCTATAAATCTTTACAGAAGTGAAGCCCAAACCAAACGTCTTGTGGTGGAGTCTGACTCACAGGACCTCTAGACAATAAAGTAGAACTACCCCGTAGGGTTTCCATAGCTGTCAATCATGACAGAAGCAGACTCCCATGGGGTGGCTGGTGGGTTTGAATCACCAGCCTTTTGGTTAGCAGCCCAATGCATTAACCACTGCACCACCAGGACCCCTTCTACCACAAGCAGGCTAGAGCAATTACATAATGCTGGAAACACACACACACACATCTGTGCATGTAAACAACATCCCAGGAGATTATGGGTTTTGTTTACTAGTTTCTGTAGTCTTTACACTCTCTCTTCTTTCCAAAAGAAAGTTACAACCCTGGTTCAGTGGGGTAGAGGCCAGCATGCCTATAACTCAAGGAAATCATAGGCCAATCTCTTTATTCTTGCAAATCGGTACTCTTTTTTTTTGCTTCTGGCAAAGGAGACCTGGTGGTGCAACACTTAAAGCACTCAGCTGGTAACTGAAAGGCTGGCGGTTCAACCTCCTGGTAGCTCCACGGGAGAAAGACTTGGCCATCTGCTGCCCTAAAGACAACAGCCTAGAAACCCCTATGGGGCAGCTCTGTTCTGGGGCACATGGGGTGGCTATGAGTTGAAATAGACCAGTTGGCCCCCAACAACACCCACTTGATGGTGGGTGTGAAGAGCCAGTTTTCCAGCAGAAAGAATTTAGAACTATTTGCCTACATTGTGCCCCCTCAGACAAGGACCTCCCCCCGGCTCAGACAGGGATGTCCTCCCCCCTCAGACTGGGGCCTTCTTCCCCCAGACCCCCCAGTCAGACTCACTCCTGGCCAAGTCCAGTGGGCTGTCCCGACTGTGCTCGAGCCGCAGCTGGGTGATGTAGACGCAGCAGTCCAGGAAGGCCTTGATGCAGGACTCGCCCAAGACGTACTGGCTCCTGTGCTCGCACGAGAAGCCCATGGGGTTCTCCCGCATGCCGCCCTCGCAGCACTTGCGCAGCTCCTTGTCCTTGTACTGGCCCGCTGTGGGAGCCCATTAGACCCTCCGCCATGGTGCCTCGAAGAGGAGGCGCTCAGGGCAGACCCCAGGGAGAACTTCCCCATGGCCTGGTCCTCCCCTGCTCCCATAAGGCCAAGCTGGGATCCTGTACGGGCCCGGTTCAGGGCTGGGGAGTGGGTAAGGGCCAGTGGGGGCCCCTACCTTTGTCTGTCCTTTTCTCCATCAGCTGCACAGAGCGACGTCGGCGGGTGGCTGGCTTCGGGCACTGAGGATCTGAGGGGCAGGAGGAGGAGAGCATGATGGATTAAATGCCTACTGTGTGTCCTTGGCGTACTCCTCACAACAGCTGTAAGTTTGGACTGTCATTGTTCCCATTAGACAGATGGGAAAACAGGCTCGGGGGGGGGGGAAGTGATTTGCTAATTGGTGGTAGAACATAAACGCAGGTCCCCTGACCACAGAGCCCTGCTCCTAACCACTGGGACACACTGCACTGCATTTGGGAGGTGGAGGTCCTGCCCCTCACTGGCTTGGGCACTGCCTTCATCCTCACCTGCCCTCTGGGTGGTCTCCAGGCCCTTGCTAGTCTTAAGGGCCAGGCCTGCATCCATGAAGACACCAGCAAAGTCCTTTCCACTGCCTGGGGTGCAGCCGATGTCTGCCTTCTCCACCACGTCCCAGATCTGTGCAGTAGGTGGGACCAAGGATGGGGTAAGCCAGGCAGTAGTGGTTCCTCCAAACCACCCACATGTCCATCTGTGTGACTCTCCCCAACTCCACCTCAACCCTGACCCATCCTCATCTTCACCCCCATCTTCACCTCATTTCTACCTGCACACAATTACTCCCCTCCCACCCAGCCCCCTCCCCACCTCCCCCATCACTTCCCCAACTTCACCCCCATCCCAC